TGTTAATAGCTTTCCCTCCCCACACTTTTGTAACCCACATTGCTTTCTCTTCTGCAATAGCCATTGAAAAACAAACAAACAACTAAGCCCTCATTGAAAACTATTCTTGCAACCTACTTTTCTCATACATGAAATATATCCTACCCTTACCTTTTGTGTCACTTTACCCCACTCCCTCTAGAATGCAAGTTTGTATCCAACTTGTCTTGTTACAAATACTACAAGTAATCCACCCATTGTACAGAAATTGTTAATAGCTTTCCCTCCCCACACTTTTGTAACCCACATTGCTTTCTCTTCTGCAATAGCCATTGAAAAACAAACAAACAACTAAGCCCTCATTGAAAACTATTCTTGCAACCTACTTTTCTCATACATGAAATATATCCTACCCTTACCTTTTGTGTCACTTTACCCCACTCCCTCTAGAATGCAAGTTTGTATCCAACTTGTCTTGTTACAAATACTACAAGTAATCCACCCATTGTACAGTACTGCACAATTTGTTGGGGCTTTATAAATAATAATAATTATATATACAAAGGAGAAAAGTCAGGTCATACAATGTACAGTGAATCCACAGAGCTTGGTATATATACCAAATGAACATATCTCCTAAAATTCTGAAGTGCTCAAAAAAAGAAACAATGGCTATTCATTATTAGTAATGACTCTTGTCAGTTATATAGTATAACTCCTCCTCCTGCAACCAATCCTCAAAAATAAAAAAACAAGTGTAGCAACAAAGGGGGCGGTGATGTGCACAAAGTATAGATGTAAGAAACAAGAATAGGGATGCCTTCAATGTCTAGCAACCTCTTAGTCTCTCAATCTACATGTTTGTCTAGCCACAAGACCTTGTGAAGACCAGTTTATGTAATGAAAAGGAACAACCAGCAACTTTATGTACAGTGATCCAAACTAAAGAAACCAACTGAAAAGCACACCATCAGATCAAATAAATCAAAACAGAAAAAACGTATAATTGCATCCTATTTGATTATAAATGCACATAATACAATACAAGAATATATAAAGTAAAACAGCAGCTTCTAAAATAAAATATATAGAAAACATATAGTATGTAAACAGATGAAAATGAGGATTGTATTAACAAAAATGTAAAAAATAATTACCTCCATTCAGTTTTTTGAGAACATATTGAATAAATAGATTCAGCATGCTTCTGCCTCAAAAGTTTTTTAACCTAATCAGCGATCAAAGTTAGTAGGGATCGGAGGTGTAACTAGAAACCACGGGGCCTCAGTGCAAAAATCGCTTTGGGACCCTCCCCATATGTCTACCTCTGCCACCCCACCATATATCTACCTTCCCCCTCCCATACATTGGCCCCCCACATATGCAGACAAACAGATACACATGCAGACACACACATGGACACCCACACATAAACAGACACACACACATACACATAGACAGGCACACATACATACAGACACACACATACATACAAAAACACACACACACACATACATACATACATACATACAAACACACACATACATACAAACATACATACACACAGACACACATATACAGACAGACACAAAAATATACATACAGACACACATACAGGGAAACATTCATCCAGACACGTACAGACACACATACAGAAGCACATGCACATACATACAAACAAACACACACATATACAAAATGTTTTAGTCGCCCTCCTGTTTCCTACCTTTTAGGTACAGGAGGGTGACTTTCCCTGGGGTCCAGTGGTGGCTTAGGCTGATGAGCGTCAGAGTTCCCACTCTGACTCCCTCTTCTCCTTCTTCCCGTGCGGCTCCCGGTGGTTGCTGCAAGGAAGTGACCGGGTTATTCACTTCCTCCCTGCTCTGACATCATCACAGGGGGCCTGGTCATGCTGTTAAAGCGCCACAGCACTGACCGGGCCCCCTGGAAATTAATTTCCATTGGGTTGCCCTAACAGCATGGACCACCTGATGGGGCCCTTAACGTGCGGCCCCAGCAGTTACACCACACAGGCCTGGGCCGCAACACATGGCAGCGGGCATCGCGGTCGCAGGGGTCCGCAAAGTGGCCTAGCCCCCTGGAGTTGCCGGCCTGGTCACAGCTGCGACCCCTGCAACTGCGGTAGTTCCGCCACTGGTAGGGATCATTCCAATCCTATAATTATCAGTTTACCAACCTTGACAACCATGCATGTGGGATGTAAAAGCTGTAGTAAAATTGTGATTTTTTTTCAAAAGAAGATCTATACTTTCTAAACTGTGTTTTAAGAGATCTTTTGACCAACATTCAAGTAGGGGAGCATTTGGGAAACAATATATATTTAAAATAAACTCAAAAAAGCAAAAGCACGTGGGGTATACTAAAATGTATAATTTAAAAAAAAACAGTTTCAATAAGATTAGGGCAGCTCTACAACATATCGACTGGCATAAACTCCAGTGCTTCAGACTTTCTGGTTTGCTTTCTTTTGGATCAACAGCAAAAACATATGTGAGAAAGGCTGAACTTGATGGACGCAAGTCTCTTTTCAGCTGTGTAGCTATGTAACTACTATGTAACTATGGACGTTTGGCTGTAACCCAATATGCTGTAACCCAAAGGACAAATGAGAAGATAAACAACAAAAACTGAATTTACAACTCATCTTGCATGCCACAGTGAAATACTTCAAATTGAAAAAAGAAGTACATTCTGTAGCTCCATTAATTAAATGTGAACACATAATATACATCCGAGAAGTGCAATGGTAATACCCCCTAAATAGAGTTACAATTATCATGTGAAACAGTTCTAAGTTTAGAGTGGGGTCAATACATTTCTAAGATTGACACCCCTTTTTTAAAAGTGAAAAGTGATGTATTTTATAAACAAAAGCATAACCAGGGATCCATAATTAAGAGATGCCAATATTTTGTCAAGATAGTTGTAATTTCATTATATGCT